CAGAACTGGATAAATTAACAGGAAGGATTCAAAACCTGCCGGCCCAAAGATTCTTAGAAGACTGGAGTAAATTTATGAACTATTTGAAAAGTAATTGTAATGAACAGATTACGCCAGTACAAGTGCAAGAAGTTTTGTAAGGATGATTATTTGAAATATTGCAAGACTTTGAGGAGAATTATTAGTTAATGATAATTAAGAGTAATAGAGAATTTAAGAAATATCACCACCTTCTAATGCTGCTGTGGTAGCCTGGCAGCTCTCAGAAAGCTATCCCTTAAGCCATGGGTAGGCAAACTAAGGCCCAGAGGCTGGATCTGGCCCAATCGCCTTCTAAATCCGGCCTCCAAACGGTCCGGGAATCAGCGTGTTTTTACATGAGTAGAATGTGTGCTTTTATTTAAAGTGCATCTCTGGGTTATTTGTGGGGCAAAGGAATTTGTTCATTCCCCCCAAAAAAATATAGTCCGGCCCCCCACAAGGCCTGAGAGACAGTGGACCGCCCCCCTGCTGAAAATGTTTGCTGACTCCTGCCTTAAGATGTAGTTCTCTGCAACACTTGTTAGCAGCCCAGTAGCCTCCTGCCTGATGGCAGTCTTAGGGAAATACATAAAAGGAGATTTTCAGAAAGTACCAAGAGACATTTCACTGTCACATAGGCTATAAGAAAATAGTATTAAAACATAACATGCAAGTCTAATGGTTTCCTGCCTCTTTCTGACTCCAGGTCTGCAGTGCATTCTGACAACAAATCACTTAAAAGATGAGTATTTTTCAGGATGGAAAACAAACAGCAGGGAGATGGATAGAAAACAAATCAACAGGAAGGTGGTTTGGCTTATTTCCTGCTCCTACCTCCCCCATCTCTGTCCCGTGTAACGATCTTTAAATTTACTCTGTAACAATTAATGCTTCATCAATAAACAGCAGACAGGTAATTTATTGATCGTGGCTGTCCTATTTTTGTATTTCAGCTAAGGCTCATATACCCTAAAAAGACAGGTCATATATTTTCTCTCTATTATCTCTTACCCTGCCTAGGACTACGATTGCATTCAGCCATTTGGCTCCATTTCTGCTGCTAAAAAGACAATTTACATCTGTTTGGGGGTATTTTAATGGTTGTAGAGGACACAGCAGCCTTCCACTTCTGTTATGTACTGAGTTGAATAGGATCCAAAATGCAGCAGTCTGATTGGTCCTAAAACAATAGGATTCAGAATGCAGCAGTCTGATTGGTCCACAGGAGTCACCCAATCCAACTCCAGGTGGAAGTGAATCTGCAACCTGATTGGCCTACAAGAGAATCCCGGAATTAGCCAATCACGTGGGGCCCATTTTGTAAATAATGTATATAAAACAGACATTTCGGGGGAACTGGCATTCCTCACTACTATGAGCTGAATAAAGAGCATGAAATCCACACTCGACTCTGAGTATATTTCAACTTCCTTGCCTGAAAGTTTACGATCTGCAACAATAACAGATACTGATACATAAGTTCAAGAGGCAAGACAGACACCCTTTGAACAGGAGATATGACAAGGCCACAGCAATGTGGGGAAATTTCGTATGGTTTCCAGAAAAGAGCTTGCTCAGTTTCTTTTTTCCTTCACAACAGGGAAGAATGGCTTTGATACGCAAAGAGGCGGTGGAATGTTTCTCCCAGGTCTTGACAATGCTTTCCTACAAGCCTATATTGATCTGTTCTTGTATCACTTCCTTCACGAGTGGGAAAGCATCGAATTTCGGGTGGGGTCTGAGTGGGGAAATGTCAGAAAGCAAAAAGCCCTTGCCTCTGCTTCCTCCAACATTCTCATCACCCAAATGTCTGACTTTTAGTTTGTTTCAAAACCCAGAGGAATAATCACAGGACTGCCTAATAGGGTTCCTTCCTCAACAGCAAACCATCCTGGACCCTACAATTGGCTGGTGAGATCTTTTTGGTGGTGCCCCACTCGTGTTGACAGATCTGCAAATACCGTACCTGTTCTATAAACAACACAAGAAAAGCCTGTTGGATCAGGCCAGAGGCCCACCTTATTTTTAATTTTGTGTTGAATAAGCTGCTTTTAACATTGTGTAACATGGTTTTTGAATATTTTGAATATTACCATTGTATTGTAATAGTTTCAACCAACCCTGGGACCCTATGGTACAGGGTCACCATTTATAATATTCAAATATTGCATTTTATTTTTTTAATGTTTTTATTAAACAGTTTCAACATAACAAATTGTCAAACTGTATAATCACAAACATAGTTTCCCCCCTTTCCCTCCCCCCCCCACCAGAGACTTCCCTCAGCTCCTCTCTCTGATTTCTCTGCACATATTATTCTCTGCATGTTATAAAATTGTACCTTATCTATCTATTATGTTATCAACCAATACATTTGTGTATGTTTATTCAAAACCTGCCAAGGAGCCCAGTTCATTTTGTTGTCTTTTTAAATAATTTGTGAAAAGCTCCCATTCTTCCTTAAAGTCACCGTTGTCCTTGTCCCGCAGTTTGCATGTCAATTTGGCCAGTTCTGCATAGCTCATCAATTTTTCTAGCCACTGTTCTTTCGTTGGGATTTCCTCATTCTTCCATCCTTGTACTCAAATATTGCATTTTCAAATATCTTAAGGGCTGTCACATGGAAGATGGAACAAGCTTGTTTTCTCCTGCTCTGGAGGGTCGGACCCGAACCAACGGCTTCAAGTTACTAGAATGGAGATTCAAACTTGGCATAAGGCAGAACTTTCTGACCGTAAGAGCTGTTTGAAAGGTCTCCCTTGTGGACTCTCCTTCCTTGGAGGTTTTTAAGCAGAGGTTGGATGGCCATTAGCTGAGATTCCTGCATTTCAGGGGGTAGGACTAGATGACCCTCGGGATCCCTTCCAACTCTACCATGTAGTGATTCTATGACATAACAACAGTCCAGTACCAGGGCCGGATTTAGGTTTGAAGCTACTGAAAATAATGGGGCCCTTTATATGTCCAGCTGTCCTTTGTCAACAACAAATTGTCACTGTTTTTTTTGTGTTGAATATATGCCATATGGTAATTTATGGACCTAACAGGTATCTAAAATGGGACGCGGGTGGCGATGTGGGTTAAACCACAGAGCCTAGGACTTGCCGATCAGAAGGTCGCCGGTTCGAATCCCCGCAACAGGGTGAGCTCCAGTTGCTCAGTCCCTGCTCCTGCCAACCTAGCAGTTCGAAAGCACAAAGTGCAAGTAGATAAATAGGTACTGCTCCGGCGGGAAAGTAAATAGCGTTTCCGTGCGCTGCTCTGGTTCGCCAGAAGCGGCTTAGTCATGCTGGCCACATGACCCGGAAGCTGTACGCTGGCTCCCTCGGTTAGTAATGAACGCCGCAACCCCAGTCGGCCAGGATTGGACCTAATGGTCAGGGGGCCCTTTACCTTTAATAGGTATCTAAAGCCATTTGCACATAACAAATAGGAGCCAACACAACACAAAACACAGTTGCTGTATGTAGGTTTTATTTTATTTGTTTTTTATCTTATATTTTGGAAATGTACATTGTTGTTTTTTCCCCTTTAAATTTTTTTGGGGGGGCCCAAGAGAGTGGGGCCCTAAGCTATAGCTTGTTTAATTTATACATAAATCCGGCACTGGAAGTACCCTGTTCTCGCAGTGGCCAACCAGGTGTTTCTGCGGGAAGCTCGCATGCAGGACTTGAGTACTGTATTTTAATATTTTGTTGGAAGCCACCCAGAGTGGCTGGGGAAGCCCAGCCAGATGGGCAGGGTATAAATGTTGTTGTTGTTGTTTAGTCGTATCCAACTCTTCGTGACCCCATGGACCAGAGCACGCCGGGCACTCCTGTCTTCCACTGCCTCCCACAGTTTGGTCAAACTCATGCTGGTAGCTTCGAGAACACCGTCCAACCATCTCGTCTTCTGTCGTCCCCTTCTCCTTGTGCCCTCCATCTTTGCCAACATCAGGGTCTTTTCCAGGGAGTCTTCTCTTCTCATGAGGTGGCCAAAGTATTGGAGCCTCAGCTTCAGGATCTGTCCTTCCAGTGAGCACTCAGGGCTGATTTCCTTCAGAATGGAGAGGTTTGATCTTCTTGCAGTCCATGGGACTCTCAAGCAGAGAGTACAGTGGTACCTCGGGTTAAGTAGCGGTACTTAATTCATTCCAGAGGTCTGTACTTAACCTGAAACTGTTCTTAACCTGAAGCACCACTTTAGCTAATGGGGCCTCCTGCTGCCGCCGTGCCACCGGAGCACGATTTCTGTTCTCATCCTGAAGCAAGGTCTTAACCTGAAGCACTATTTCTGGGTTAGCGGAGTCTGTAACCTGAAGCGTATGTAACCCGAGGTACCACTGTATAAATAATAAATTATTATTACTATTATTATTATTGAGCGCAACCAGCGTCTCTCCCCACTTGGGGGATTGCCAGCAAGCGTGAAGAATCTGCAAAAGATCAATCTGCCAAAATTGAAAATCAGGGCTCTGCAAAAGAAACAAAACACGAGCCGATCGCCGCGTTTGCGCGGAGGGGAAAGTGCAGGCCATCGCCGGCAGCGCAGATAGCGGAAGAGATTGCGTGACTAATCCGGCTAGTGTTTTCCTTGGATGGGGAAAGCCGCGGGGCCTGGCCGGCGGTGAATAGCCCAGCAGCACCAACAGCCAGGCCGCTTCTGGGCTTCCCTACCAGCTGACCGCCTCGCCCAGCGCTGAGCTCATCCCGGGCAGGCGCAGCAGCCGGCGCGCCTTGGAGAGCCGAGTGGCCTCGCTGGGTCGTGCGCCTTTTCGGGGAAACCGAAACCGAAGCGCGTCGCTCCGCCCCAAAGCAGCCGCCTCCTCCGCCGCCCCTCCGGACCCGGCTTCTTTCCCTCCGCCTTCTCGGGCCGAGGGAGGCGCTTGGCCGGGAGGCAGCGCCTGGTCGGCCCTGGGCTGGGAGCGCCCAGTGGGAAGGGCGCGGAGCAAGCTCGCCTTCTCCGCCCGGCGCATTTACGCAGCGCCCTCGGCCCGGCCTAGCCGCTCTCTCGCTCGCTCTCTCGCTCGCCCCTCTCGCCGCCATGAGGAAGCTCTGCCTGGGCACGGTGGGCGTGCTGTCCATGACCCTGCTCATCGCCAGCGTCGCCCTGCTCGTGGCCCGCGTCTTGCAGAAAGCCGTGGAGCTGCAAGTCCGACAGGTGAGGAGCGGGCATGGCCTCGGCGCGCATCCGCTCGCATTCACACGTTACGGTTAAAGGAGGGTTGGGGCCTTAGGGTTGCGCTCAGGTGGTTGGGGTGAGGCGGCGTGGGGGGGGAGAGATCATCTGAAGGCTTATCTGGGGTTTGTTCTGTATAAGCTTTGACCTGTTGTATTTTTAAAAACAAAAACAAAACGCGCCCTTTAAACTTCCCTCCCATGTTTGTCTCTCTTTGCACTTCGTCACTCTCGGGACAGAACTTTTTCTCACCATCACTTCCCATCAAACATACGGCACCGTCTCCAGGGGATTAAAAAAAATTATTTGCAGGCAATAATGATGGGAAAAGACAATACATGGGGGAACACATGACTCCCGTTCAACGTGGATGCTCTTTGTATTTATCACTTGCAGAAATTAAGGTGTTCATTGAGGGGTAGTGAAACGTTCACTGTAAAATAGAAGGAAAGGAGGACAGGGAATCAACACCTACCCAAGTTGTGCAGTTGCTTTGCTTTTCTTTTTTTAGTTTAATTTTTAAATTAAGTGAATATTCTAAATTGTCAAACATATATTTAAACAACCTTAAAATATCAATGACTTCCCTTTGTTTTGCACAACATAAATCCCTGCATATTTTATATAAACTAAACCATTCAGTATTCCATTATTACATCCATCAAAACTTATTTACACTGTTGAATTTATCATAATGCTGCCCATGTTTTCAAATAAACACAATTTCCCTCCAGATATTCAATAAATATTTTCCAATCTTCTTTAAACGTGTGTTCTTCCTGTTATCTTACTCTATATGTTAGGTCCGCAAGCTGCGCACATTCCATCAGTTTAAGTTGCCAAACTTCTTTAGTTGGGACTTTGCTTGTTTTCCGTTTTTTGGGCTAACAAAATACGAGCCGCGGTAGTGTCATACATAAATAACCTTTTCCAACACCTGGGAATTTCCGTCTGAGTTATTCCCAACAAAAAGGACCCTGGTGTTTTTTTTGGAAAAATACTTTTAAACATTTCCCCCCCCCCCCAACTGCCCTCTCATGTATAAAACGATGGTTCTAGCAACACAACTCGGGAATGGATCTTTGCATTTTCATCACAAGCCTTGTGCCTCCCTTTGTTGCGACAGCAGCTCCTTCCCCTTATGCATGGCATAAATTAAATCAGTCAGCTCTTGGAAGCCAGTATTTCTGTGATGGAATCCCTGCTCCTCAAAGCTAACGCCACTTGGGTTGCACAACATGTGCCTTCCTTGGTTTTTCGTCACAGTTGCCCAACACTTAATGACTGGCAGGTAATGGTGTGAACTTACGGCTCTGAAAAAGTTCTATGTTCAAAGCTGTGCCAGATGCTGTTGACGGATCTTGGCCAGGCATAGGCAAACTCTGGCCCTCCAGATGTTTGGGACTACAATTCTCATCATCCCTGACCACTGGTCCTGTTAGCTAGGGATGATGGGAATTGTAGTCCTAAACATCTGGAGGGCTGGAGTTTGCCTATGGCTGATCTTGGCCCTAGTGGTTAAGCTGTGATAACTCCTTTTTATGACCTTGTGGTTGATTGACATACATGTGTGAATTGCCCCTGAGTGTTAGGGTACTTGGCGGTGAGTGAACAGCAGTCGGCACATCCTCAGAGGCAGTATGTTCACATAACATAGTTCCATTCTGTAGATCTGGCATAGTTTGATGGTTACCAGTGTGACCTCTGAAGGGGGGGAGTCCTGATCAGCTTTCTTCACTGCCATGAACTCACTGCCATTATGAGAGAAGAATCACTGAATCATAGAGGTGGAAGGGACCCCAAGGTGCAGGAATCTTTTGCCCAAATGAGACTCGAACCCAGGACCCTGAGATTAAAAGCCACATGATTTGTTAACTGAGGTTTCATAGTTTATTATACAGAAACAGAGAGGTTTCTCATAGAGGTTTGCAGTCTTAAAAGCATGAGATGAACAAAGAACTGGGAAATGCTTGGCAGTGGTTGGGGAAGAGAGGTAATGTATACAGTAATTAATCCAGGAGTCAGGGAGGGGAATCGTAAATGCTAAACAAAATACTGAGAAGGAAACACATGAAGTAATTTCACAGGTGGAAAAGAGGCCCCGGCCAGATATTTAGAGGGAGAGAGTTTGTTTAAGTAACAAGATTTATATACTGCTTAATCAAAATAGCCTCGAAGCAGCTCACATAAAACAATATGAAGTTCTACTTGGTCCTACTTATGGGTTTCCCACTCTGAGAACAGGATGCAGGAATAGGTGGCCGCTGGCCTGATCCAGTGGGTCTCTTATGAGCTACTCCTGGATGACAGGTACTTTCTCTCGGCCTTCTTTTACAGTCATTGTTGTTGTTTAGTCGTTTAGTCGTGTCCGACTCTTCGTGACCCCATGGACCAGAGCACGCCAGGCACTCCTGTCTTCCACCGCCTCCCGCTGTTTGTTCAGGCTCATGTTTGTAGCTTCGAGAACACTACAGTCATACCTCGGGTTAAATATGGTTCGAGTTGAGCGCATTCGAGTTGTGCTCCGTTACTTCCGGGTTTCGCCACTTGCGCATGCGCAGGCGCTCAAACTGATGTCATGCGCAGAAGCGGCGAAAAGCGTCGCGCGCATGCGCTGACATGCCGTCGCTAGTTACGTTTACCTCTAGATGCGAACGGGGCTCCGGAACAGATCCCGTTCATATCTAGAGGTACCACTGTATTTAGCATCAGAACAACCCCCCATTCCAGAGTTGTTGTAAAAGTTAACTTGTGTCAGTGTATGTTGCTAAACTCTTATACAAAGTACAGTGCACTCTCGGGTTGCAAATGTGATCCGTGCGGGATGCACGTTCGCAACCCGCAGTGTCCACAGCAGTGCGTCTGTGCATGTGCGGGTTGCAATTTGGCGCTTATGCGCAAACAATGCGCAAAGCACAATTTAGCGCTTCTGCGCATGAGTGACCGCCAAAACCCGGAAGTAACCCGTTCCATTACTTCCAGGTTTCAGTGGTCCGTAACCTGAAAAAACACAACCTGAAGCGTCTGTAACCCGAGGTATGACTGTGCATGTGTACAGTATATGTATCTGTCGGTGTAGGTCAGGGGTTGAGAACCCCTGGGGGTCCTCTGTCTGGCCCCTGGGACTCACCCAAGGCCACCCCCCTCACCAGCCCTGATCCTCACTCTTCTGGAGTGCTTCTGCCAGGCACAAGTCCTTGAACTTTTGATAATGCTGCTTGCTTGCTTGCTTGCTTACTGAATGGATGGATGGATGAAGAGGTTCCTGTGTGTACATGTAAGAGCTCTAGACTTTTGCACGGATGCAATGTGGGCTGCTATCGGGACGTGGGTGGCGCTGTGGGTAAAAGCCTCAGCGCCTAGGACTTGCCGATTGAAAGATCGGCGGTTCGAATCCCCGCAGCGGGGTGCGCTCCCGTCGCTCGGTCCCAGCGCCTGCCAACCTAGCAGTTCGAAAGCACCTTCGGGTGCAAGTAGATAAATAGGGACCGCTTACTAGCGGGAAGGTAAACGGCGTTCCGTGTGCTGCGCTGGCACGCCAGATGCAGCTTGTCACGCTGGCCACGTGGCCCGGAAGTGTCTTCGGACAGCGCTGGCTCCCGGCCTATAGAGTGAGATGAGCGCACAACCCTAGAGTCTGTCAAGACTGGCCCGTACGGGCAGGGGGACCTTTACCTTTACCTTTAATGTGGGCTGCTATGCAAATGGAAGAGCAGAACCCTTTGTCCCCTCCTCTTTTACCTGTGACCCTTCTTGCAGGCCCTGTACGGTTCCTCGTGAGGAAATGCAGGCCATGGGCTGGAAAGGTCTCTCTCTCCCCCACCCCCAGTGTACGAAGCAGCAGTATGAGCAAGCACCTAAACTTGAAACAAGGGGTGTGGTATGAGTGGGTGAGAGTTGAGAGCCTTGGATGAGAAAGCAAAAATTAAGAGTCCCGTGCTCCGCCAACTGAGCTATGCATTATTCTATGTGTCTGTGATGTTCTATTCTGTTCTACCATGTTACCGTTGTTCATTGTTTGCAAGCCACTTTGGGATTCATTGTAATGGAAAGCGGCGTAGAAATGTAGTAAGTCAAATCTTTTGTCCCAGGGTATGATCCAAAGGAACATGAGGCCACTGACTTACTGAAGCTAAGCAGGTCTGAGTCTGGTCAGTGTTTGGATGGGAGACCTTCTGAAACAGCAAACACCGCCTCAGGTTCCATAATAAATAATAATACAGTGGTACCTTGGGTTAAGTACTTAATTTGTTCTGGAGGTCTGTTCTTAACCTGAAGCACCACTTTAGGCCTCCTGCTGCCGCTGCGCCGCTGGAGCACAATTTCTGTTCTTATCCTGAAGCAAAGTTCTTAACCCGAGGTAATATTTCTAGGTTAGCGGAGTATGTAACCTGAAGCGTATGTAACCTGAGGTACCACTGTACATTTTTATTTATACCCCACCCTTCCCGGTTCAGAAAACCGGGCTCAGGGTAGCTAACAACAAATTTAAAACACTTAATTGATGCAACAAAAAACAGCATAAAATACAGTATAAAATGTGAATAACAATAAATTCAGAATTCAAAAATCAATTCAGGAGGAAAATCTATCCAATAAACATTAGATGATCACCAGGGCTAGCTGGCTAAATTAGTCCTATTTGGGCCAGCGAGGAGACCAGGGGAGAATTAGCTGTGGGATCCCAGAGTGGGTAATCTTTATAAAAAGGGGAGGGGGAGGGAAGGAAGAAAGGGGAATAAAAGATCAGGCTAAGTTCAAGTTGAAAGCCAGGTGGAATAGCTCTGTCTTACAGGCCCTGCGGAAGGAAGTGAAATCCTGTAGGGCCCTGGTCTCATGGGACAGAGCATTCCACCAGGTCGGAGCCATCACTGAGAAGGCCCTGGCCCTGGTGGAGGATAATCTGACTTCCTTAGGGCCCTGAATAATGGGAATGAGTTTCTGGAACCAAAATGCTTTTCCTGTGCAGCCTGAGCAGGAGC